TGTTCCAACACCATTTACAGCGTTTACAAGCACATGTCAAAAGGTTAAGTGCTCAGCAAACAGATGTTTTATGATGTTCACTTGTTGACTGGGAAATGCACGACATTTTTAAGGTTTACTGTCGAATCACATTAAAGAAAGGGTAGAGGCCTGACTGAATGCTTTACTGTCGAATGATGTCAGTAATCCTCGCTCTGCTCCGTGACAGCCGATGACGATGAGCCGGGCTGGTCTTCTTGTGGTCGTGGTGGTTGATGGCTGACCAGAATTCCTGATTAGAAAGTGTCAACAGGGCCAATAATGTCTCTGCTCCCATCATGTTGCCATGGTGACAGGACTGAGCTTTCCATATTATATCTTTTTTTTTTTGGTCTATGCCCTAAACTTTCACTCCCTGCTGTTTAATTAATGGCGAGAATGCTTCAAAAATTCTCCGTCTTCATGTTTAATTGATATAAATCTATCTTTTAAGAGCTTGTATACATTCGTGCACTATCTTAAAGTGAAAGCACATCAAAGCGAGTAAAATAGCATCTCGTATTTTAAGATCTCTATCAGTGACGATGGGGCTGCCGGGCTTCTTTTACGACCACGTGGCCGCACATCTAAAAAGTCTTTCCAGGCGCAGACTTGTGATTGTGTTTTTCTGTCCGTGAACCATCAGCGTACACTCGGGTGGCGCCATTTTGTCTGCTCAGCAGCCTCTTTGTAGAGCGCTCCGAGGTAAAGAGGTTCCTGAAACATAATATAGCAACAAGTGCCCTCAGCTCCTCCAATTAACTGCTGAGCTCTGTCTGGGTGGGTTTTTAGAACATCAGCAAGAGTGCGCAGGGAAACCAAAATAGATGCTTTACGCCGTCAATATTTTAGCATCCGCCGCGTATCGATATTCTCGACATGTTTTACTGTCACCGTATGGAAAGTAAATAATTTTCATATCATGCATTCGCTGAATAGTTATGCTAATGGCCCCATGAGCAAAATAATGATTACTTTTCTGGCTCATTTGAATAATGAAATCATTTAGTTAAGTGAGACAGTAAGCATTGGATTTGTTTATGTTAGATTCAGTGTGATCATATTATTCTCTTGTAATTGCGACGCGTGATCGATGGTGTTTTGGTTCCTTCATACTATCTATATGAAAACAGACAAAGAGGATTTATTTTCAGGACTGGCACAAAGCCTCTATTAGACAGTAGAAAAGAAGCTAAGAAAACATTATGTAAAGTGCACGTTAGTCTCTCAGCATAGCAGAGAATAAAAGATTTTTGTGGGGCCGATCTTGGTCAATACTTATTTAAGTGAAACAGTGACAAATGCGTTTGTGAGGGGGACAGATTTTCTGAGGATCTCATCCAAAACTGAATAAATGAAATGAAACACTTGTACAAACAATACAACATTACTAACTTAATTGAGAAATAAGGACTCCCATCTATTCCACTGACGTTTGTTTACAGAACTATTGTTTGTCCCCCCCATATTGATTTATCTTTGTCACCCATCTCCCCGTGAACTAAAAATACCATCTGACACCAGAGAGAGGGGGAAAAATCAGCCTCGGGCCTAATCAATCGAGAGAGGCTTTTTGAGGTTGTTTACGATGCTGCTTTTGGTTCATGATGCACAAGCCCAGCTGGTGAATGAAGTGAGTTTAGAGGACAGCAATTTTAGTAATATGAGCAAGAAAATAATTTCACAGTGTGTTTTTGTAGAAGTCGTGAGCCTACATTTATCTCCTCGTTGCTCCGGATGCTGTTTTCCTACTTAAGCGCAGAGACTGCATCAGCTCTAAATCATAACCAGAAGATTGTAAAGGCAGAGTGAATTAAGTGTTTTAACAGTGATCCAGAAACGCAGAGCATCCGTGGGTTTGGCTGTGGGTTTGGAGATCAAACTCAGAGGTCTTACACATGGCCAAAAAAAC